CTCAGGCACGCAGAGAAGGGAATGGAAGAGGCACAAAAGCTTCCTCAGACAAAGCAGCTTTTGAGATACTCACACTCTCTTCTTCTTTAAGAGGTCCTGTCTTACAGTCAGTCTATTCTCTTACAAATTCCTGCTTCCTGGTTTTTAAGTAGACATTTAGAAGTGGGCACTAAAATGACTGTGGCAGGAGGGAAGTGTTTAGTGTGCTGCACATTTTCTCCATAAGGAAGAATGTGTGTTACTGGTGCTCGTGATGTTTCTTACTAAATAACTCCACTTCTGTAGCCCTGGCTGGCAACTTTCATGCAGCTCTGCACTGAATTCACACTGATTGTGTGAGTGTAGAAATCCAACAGCTTCATCAAGCAACAAAAACCCCAGCCTGGTGGCTCTGGGTTCAGAATGAAACAAAACAGAACCAAAACACAGAGCATTAGTAAATAAGGACAGAGGTTTTGAAATAAAAGAAGTTAAATCAGTGGAAAAGTTCATTCATTCTACTCTTCCTAATGTGCTGCAAGCATAAAAAAATTAGTAATGTTTTCTAATGGTTACTGTGGAATTTCTTTTCAGAGCAGTTGGTGGAAAGCCAAAGTGTGCTTTACATTCAGGATTTTTGCAGAGATTTCTCAGCTCAGCCACAATGTCCTGCTGTTTGCTTTTTCTGCACTGCCTTGTTGGAGCTGTAGAAACAAACTGCAGTCATAGGCTCATTGAGGAAAGAACTGTTTCATCCCTTCCCATGATTTCATTTTGTTGGTTTTTTTCCTGTAAAGGCTTGTTGAGAGTGGTATTCAGGAGATCAAAGAGTGAAACTGGTACAGAAAGTGATAGAAAAATTATCTCTTCTGTAAATACTGCTCCTTTTCTGTGAAAGAACTTAGAGTAGAAAATAAAATCTGTAGGATCTTCTGAAGTTCTTTGGGGCTTATTCTGTTGCAGCCTTACTTCCTTCAGTAGTATTATTTTCCTCAAACTGATCAAAACAAACATTCTCCGTGGGATCTTTAGAGTACCAAATAAATCTTTTAGAAAATGTATTGCATTGTTTACAGCTGGAGAACAGCACTGGATTTTGTGGGTCCATGACTGTGCTTAATGGTTGGCTGGAGAGGGAAGCACGTCCAAACCCTGGGGCAGCACCCCCGCTCTGCCAGCCCCCGTGGCTGGGATTGGGGTGACCCCTCAACACAGCTCTGCTCTGGTCACCTTGGGCAGAAGTCAGAAAGCCTGAAAACACAGACTGGAAGGGCAGTGAGCTATTTAACTTGTGCTGGAGTAGGAACAAGCACAACAAATGGGTGAGAGTGTTTCAGGTCTCTTAACTGTTCAGGTCAGTTAACTCTTAACTTTGAGAGAGGACACTGCTGGAAGTGATGCTAGCATTAATGAGTGACTTTCTTTCTTGGCAAATACTGGGGCCTCAGGCTAATGGGTCAGGTCTGACCTGGGGAAGAGCTGGTCAGCTGGGTGTGAGTGGCTGCTGTTAACTGAAGGAAGCCTAGATCCTCCTGCTTGTTGCTTTACTCATCTACTGCTTGTAGGTGATTTCTTTTAGGGTCTGGCTTTACTCTGTTACAGCTCTGCAAACAACTTCAGTAGCTCTGAAAAGGGAAAGTTAGTATTACTTGGAAAAGAAAAGGAAGCAGGCCAAAAAATGGATGAAAAATATTTTCTATTCAAAGAGCATGTTTCATTTTAGATTTGAGTGATTTATTGTTGAAGTAAGTTTAAAACTGATGGCAGGAGGTGGCTTTTGGGAGAGTGGGAAGTAGGGAGGAATTTCACCAGAGAGTAGAGGAAGGGAGACATCTCTTGAGCAGAACAAGGGAAGAGGCAAAAAGTCCTCTAAAGAGAAGACAAAATGACTGAGGATAGAAGATACAGACCTCAGGCTGACAACTACTTGGGAAAAAACAAACCTTAACCTCTGGGCAAATAATTCTGCCAGATGTGCTGCAGCTGTTCTGTGAGGTGGACATCCTCTGGGGTATAAATACTCTGGAGGGACTTAAAAGACATGTAGATGTGGCACTTAGGGACATGATCTAGTGGTGGATTTGGCAGTGCTGGGATAAGAATTGGACTCGATGATCTTAAGGGTCTTTTCCAACTTAATGATTCTGTGATTTTAAGGTTGATGACAGTCCCTTGGCGCTCTGCTGTCCCTTAAGGGAGGAGGGTACAGGCATTGTTACCTGGTGCTTTGCACAGCAGGAGACAGGATAAAGTAACGTGTGAGATGGTACTGAATGACCTACTTTTGGAAAAGAAGAAAAGATAGGATCCATTTTTGGATGTATAGGAAGAGGATGAGAAAAGATTGTTGTTAATCCTTGGTGGGGCAAGAGGAAATCCTCTGTAGAGGGGAGCAGGAGCTGTGTGTGTAAAGTGGAATCACTGGTCCCCCGCGTGGTGTGCAGTGGAAGTGGACGGATCTCGCCTCGGAAGGTGCGTGTGGCGCAGTGCCAGGACGGCGGCTCGGTCCAGCATTTCCTGGGTTTACATCCTATGTGTGGATGTCAGTAGCCTGAGGCACTGCAGAGGTGTCCCGGGTTTTATTCCAGGGGAATTTTTGCAGCTGGTTCCTGTGCCTGTTGGCAGCTGGAATGGGCTTGCCTTGAGGGTTTTGTTTCTCCTGTATCATCTGGTTTTGGGGTGGAACTCTCAGCAGCTCTAGATTAGTACAGACCATGAGAGACAAGCATTTATTAAGTTCTGATGAAGAATTACTGCATAATTAGGAATTAATGCATAATTAATTTGGAAATTTCCAAAAGGTACTTCTCAGGTGGTGACAGCAAAAGAGTTGTTTAATGAAAGCTTCTAATGAAAAGCTCCCAAGAGCAAAGCAGGTTCTGTTTTCCAGAGCCAGGATGATAAAGAAGGTTTTAAATTTTTTCAATTTTCTTTTTTCTTATTTGGAAAGTGAAACTTGTATTTTTCTAAAACATATTTCACGAAGTCATGACACTTTCATTGAAATGATTGAGAATGAACTTCTGACTAAAGAACTTTTTGGAAAGAAATACCAAGTTTTCGTTTGTTTGTTCATTTGATTTGAACTGATATTTCCCGTCAGACTTCTAAACTAAAAACAGAGTTCAATTTGACAATAAATATTTCATCTTACATCAAGTGAAACACTCATTCAACACAAGATATCTTTCTTATCTAATTTTTTGGTGTGTTTTGGAAGCGACAGCGAGGCAGGTTTTTATTTGTTGCATGTACTGCTGAGGGATGTGTACAGGGCACTGCTTTGAGGAGCCTGGAGGACCTGGACATGGAGCCTCCTGCCCAACAGGCTCAGGAGGGATTGCTCTTTCCCTGCAGAAGGACCAGTCTCCTACTGCTGTGATTGAACCAGAGGTGGAAAGGGGTGTGAGTCTGGCGCTTGCAAAAATCATTGTAGTGACAGCTGAGCAGCACGAGTGTTCCTTTGCCTTCCATTCCTTCCATTCCAGATGTCTTGGCCAGGAGCAGCCTTACAGCACTTGGTCTGGCAGCTGATTTCTTTTTGTCTGGAGAAAGATAATAAGAGATAATGGATGCTGAACACTGCATTTAATGTCCCAACAGGAAGAAGACTAAGGGAGGAGCCTGGTGAGCCTGACCTGGGACCACAGAGGATCTCAGAGAACATCCAGCACCGCTGGAACTGAGCACCCAGGGCAGTGAGATGGACTCTCCCCACCTCATGGGGTTGTGTTTCCTGCTACTGGCTGTTGCAGCTCCCTGTCCAAGTGAGTCTCCTTGTATGACCTCAGTGCCTTTCCCTGCACATCAGTAGCTAAAAAGCTTTTAGCTGTTATTAGAAAGCTCAGTTGTGCCCAGTTAAAGCTAAAACCACAAAAGCTCTACGGTGAGAAAAGAAATTAAGGTGAAGGTGGGTTTGTTTGACCTGTCCCAATGCCATGTTTTGGGAGGGATGACTCTTTGGGTCTGTCTGATGTCAGATGAGGCAAGTCCTCTCCTGAAGGACTGGCTTTTCCCCGGGAGAGTCTGGATGAGTAAACCTGCACACTGCACCCAGTGTGTCCAGTCTGGCACCTGTGAACTTCACTGGTCTTGGGATCTGGCACTCTGCTGGAGGGACACCTGATAGGATTGTGCCAAGGCCTTGGGAAGGAAAGGAAACAAGAGATGATTCATCTGAGCTCAACGAGAGAAAAGCCTTTCAACTAATTTCCCAAACTGCCAACTTCCTAGTTTAAAACAGTTGTAGCAGTGGGAAAATTATATCCTATTTCTGCCCGCATATTATCTGGTGGACTTGCCCCAGTGCTGTGTAAAATTTGCCCCTTGGCAGACAATATCTCTGAAGCCATGACCGGACCTGTTCACCCAAACTCATCCTGTTGCAAAGCAATTTAAATTTTAGTAGTAGAATGGCTAAGGCTTAGTAGGAGAGTAGGCCTAGAAAAGCAACACTCCAAAGAAGTAAGTTAGCAACCTTGTTTGTGTGCTGAAAAAGGTGGAAACCATAATCAAAGGATCTAGTCAAGCATGTATATAATGATTTGTTACCTAGGATATAGTAATTTGTTACCTAAGATGAAGTAAGGGTCTGTTAAACAGTTTCTAAGGGTAAGACAACTTAAGCAGATTTATGATTAGAGTAGATGATTATTAATTGTTATCGGTATGGAGCATGAGCTTGTTTGTAACTGCACCTGGTTTGCTGTGGAAACTGTAACTGTTTTGCCGTGGAAACTGCACGTAAACTTGTTTGTGTATAAAAGCTGAACTGAAAATGAGGGTCTTCGGAATCCTGACTTGGGACGCTAGTCCTCAGGTTCCCGGGGCCCCGAATAAAGCACCGCATAAACCGGCACTCTGTTGGTTTGTGTTTCTTTTGGTTACGGGCAACAGTTTTCTGGCGACCCAGACTGGGGACTCCGGGGGTAGCTGGGGCGGCTCACGCGCTGATCTACTCCACACCGGCAACCAGGTGATTTCTGCACCCGCCGGACAACCCATCCAGGTAAGCCCGGAGGTGCTTTATTCCTTTAGGTTTGTTGGTTGGGAGCCTGCCTATAAGACGGGACTGTGAGTTACCCGCTGGGTTGGGCTAAAGGTACCTTGGTTGGGAAGCCTAGGCGCTGGTCGTAAGACATAGCGAAAGCCGCGCTGTACCAGCACTCGCCACTCAGAGGGAGAATTGGCGAGTTGGTTTTGGTTTTGGAATATGTAATTGGTTTATATCGTTGTGTTATTGCGCTGGTCGTAAAACGTATTGGTTTATATTGTTGTGCTATTGTGAATTTGATTTTGAATTCAGACTGTGGTGTGTGTGTGTATGTGTGTGTGTGTGTGTGAGTCAGTATGATGCCGTTTAAAACCTTTAAGGCACTATCTTGTGCAGAAAATGATATCCCTAGCGATTCTCCGCTTGGTTGCTTGTTAAAACATTGGAAGGAAAGAAATTTCGGACAAGAGTTAAGAAAGAAACAATTGATTGATTATTGTAATAATGTGTGGCCTCAGTATGAGACAGAAGGAATGCAGTGGCCTAGGAATGGTTCATTGACTCCGGAAATTATAACCCCCTTGATGCAATATTTACGGGAGAATGAAATATGGGATGAAATACCGTATCTAGACTTGTTTTATTATTTAAAACGTAAGACTGAATGGCAAAAAGAATGTGGTATGTTGATTTTGAAAGAATTAGATGATAAATGCATAGGATGTCAAGAACGGAAAATACGGTTTTCAGAACCAGAAGAGGATGTGTCTTTGTTAGTCTCCCCCAGCATAACTCCAAGTGCGCCCCCGAGAGATAGTCTCCCTTCACGTGTGAGGGCACAATCACCCACCATGCCCCCGCTAGAATCGTCCTCGGATGAGGAAGAAAAGAGAAAAGAGAGAATGTGATTTTGATAGAACTCCTTTAGCTGAACAAACACGGAGAGCACGAAGAGAACGAGGGAGGAGTAGAGAAAGACGGCGGGGGGGGGGAAAGTTGAGGGAAGTTTTGCTTTCACCCCCGAGATTAATGGCCCCTTCGCAGGAAGCAGTTGGAGCGGACGGGGGAAAGGTCATGATGAAAGTTTCTTTTTTTTACCTAATGATATATTAATTTGGAAACAGTCAGCTGGGTCATACAGAGAAAATCCGGAGCAGGTGACTTGTATTATAAAAATGGTTAGAAAAACTCAAAATCCAGACTGGAATGATTTACAGGTATTGTTAGATACAATTCTGGACTCAACTGAAAAAGAAATGGTATTAAGAGTGATGGTGGAAAGAGCGAAAGAAAGAATGCGAACTCTGCCCCGGGCGGCGGGGGGAACAGTGGATGATTTTGTGCCACAGGAGGATCCCGAGTGGGATCCAAATGTGTCTGGAGATTGTAGAAAGTTGAGAATTTACCGAGAATTGTTGGTGGAGGGAGTGCAAAGTGAGATACCAGGGACGCTGGACTGGTCAGGGCTGTGCTTAGTGGGACGGAATGGGGAGAATCTCTTTCAGCCTTTTTAGAGAAATTAAAAGAGGAACCTCTGAATGAAGTTAAAAGTAGCAAAAAAGAGGAACCTCAGAGAGAGATTACAAATAGCCCTCTGAAAAGAAGATTAGTAAAAGGTGACTTTGAGGCTAGGACGCTGAGGATTCCCCCTGAAAGTCCCTTGGGGAACCTCTTAGAGAACCGGAGTTGTTATTCCAGCACTTATAGAAGATCAAAGGAGAAAATGATTAAGTATTGTATTGAAGTGTGGGGAGGTAGAAGAATAGGAAATAATACTTACTGGCCCATATATGGTACTTTTAAGAATTGGGTCTGTGAACTTTTAACTTGGTATGTTAGCAATAAAAACCCTTTTGCCCAGAGGAGAGTTTTTATGCCGATATATGGTTAGAAGCCAGTGAAGATATTTACTTGTTTTCTTTAAGAGAAAGAAGGAGCACAACCCGTTAGAGTGTGACAATACCCAATTAGTTTAGAAGCCAGGAAAGGAATAGCTCCTATGATCACACAGTTTTTAATTTTAGGGATATTAAAAGAATGTGAGTCAGAGTTTAATACTCCCATTTTTCCGATAAAAAGCAAAATGGTAAGTATAGGTTAGTGCAAGACTTTAGAGCAGTAAACATCATCACAAAAGATATCCACCCGGTTGTAGCTAACCCTTACACCTTGTTAACATCTGTTTCTGAGAGATTTCAGTGGTTTACAGTGATAGATCTAAAGGATGCCTTCTTCTGCATACCACTGGCACGGGAAAGTTGGAAAATCTTTGCCTTTGAATGGGAGAACCCAGAGACTGGACGGAAGCGACAGCTTACTTGGACTCGATTACCACAAGGATTCAAATGCTCACCCACGATATTTGGTAATCAGTTAGCAAAGGAACTTGAAGAATGGAAGACCACTCAGGTAAAAGAATCTCTTTTTTTCATATATAATACTTCAATATGTTGATGACATCTTTTTGAGAAATACAGAGCAGAGACTCTGCCGTCAATTAACCATTGAACTGTTAATCATGCTGGGGCAAACAGGCTATCGAGTCTCAAAAGAAAAAGCACAACTAGTAAAACAGAAAGTTATTTATCTGGGATGTGAAATCTCCCAAGGAACCCGGCGCTTAGGAACAAATAGGGTTCAAGCAATATGTGCTATCCCTATGCCCCGAAATAATCAGGAACTGAGATCTTTTTTTAGGAATGGTCGGATGGTGCAGACTGTGGATCCCCAACTTTGGACTAACTGCCAGACCTTTATATGAAGAAGTAAAGGAGCCCAAGCTGACCTGGGGGACGAAGCAAGAGAAAGCGTTCCAGGAATTGAAAAGAGCCCTCCAGGAAGCACCTGCCCTGGGACTGCCGGACCCAACCAAGGAGTTTCAGCTCTATGTCTGCGAGAGACAACGAATGGCTTTAGGAGTCCTCACTCAGCGTCTAGGATCCTGGAAAAGACCGGTTGGATATTTCTCCAAACGGCTAGACGCAGTAAGTGGGGGATGGCCAGGGTGTCTCAGAGTTGTGGCAGCGACGGTTACTTTAATACAAGAAGCACGAAAATTGACTCTGGGAAAACACATGGTAGTGTACGTACCCCACATGGTCATAGCAGTTTTAGAACAAAAAGGGGGGCATTGGCTCTCATCTAGCCGCATGTTACAGTATCAAGCTTTGTTGAGAGAACAAGATGATTTTGAACTGAAAATCACTAACCATCTCAACCCAGCAGAATTCCTTAGGTCTACACAGGAAGAAGGTATCCTGGAGCATGACTGTGTAAAGACCATTGAACAAGTCTACGCGAGCAGAAGAGACTTGAAGGATGAGCCATTGACAGATCCTGACTGGGAATTGTTCACTGACGGTCTAGCTTTGTGGAGAATGGCATCAGGTATGCTGGGTATGCAGTAGTCACTGAACAAGAAGTGATAGAAGCAAATGCACTACCCCCAGGTACGTCTGCACAAAAGGCCGAAATATGGGTATTGGTGAGAGCTTTGATATTAAGCCAAGGAAAGAGAGTTAATATATGGACTGACTCCAAATATGCTTTTGGGGTAGTTCATGTTCACGGAGCACTCTGGAAAGAGAGAGGACTTCTTACTTCTCAAGGGACAACGATTAAACATCGGGAAGAAATTTTACAATTGCTAGAGGCAATACACAAGCCCTCAACAGTGGCAATAATGCATGTTAAAGGACATCAGAGAGATCCCGGACGAGAATTTCGAGGTAATCGACAGGCTGACCAAGCGGCTAAGCAGGCCGCAAGAGAAGTATGGACTCAGATGGTTCTTTTGCCTGTTCGAAATAATCCAGCAATACCATATATGGAAGAAAAACCACATTATTCACAGGAAGATGAGAAATTAGCTCAAATGACAAATGCAAGGAAAAATGTTAAAAGGTGGTATATTTCCCCCATAGGACAAGTGATTTTACCTGTCAGAATAATGAAAGCAGTGCTTGAAACAGAACACAATAAGTGCCACTGGGGTGCAAAAGCATTGGTAAAATTTTTGAAAAATGAGGTTCTCTCAAACCAGATGTTAACACTGGCAAAAAGGGTAAATGCAATGTGTCCTATGTGCATAAAGAATAACCCAGTAGTCAGGAAGTAGGTGTAGATGGGAAAATTACAGATAGGTCAGTTACCGGGAGATTACTGGCAAGTAGATTTTTCTGAGTTGCCTAAGGCCCAATCCTATAAGTATTTGTTAGTATATGTCTGCACCTTTTCAGGATGGCCTGAGGTTTTTTCCTGTAGGACTAATCAAGCAAAGGAAGTGGTAAAAACTCTCTTGAGAGAAATCATCCCAAGATTTGGAGTTCCCCTAGGGCTGTCCTCTGATCGAGGACCGCACTTTATAGCAGGGATAGTACAAGATGTGTCTGTTGTATTAGGGATAACATGGAATCTCCATACACCATGGAGACCACAGTCTAGTGGACAAGTTGAAAGGATGAATCAGACATTGAAAGGTCAATTGAAGAAAATCTGTCAGGAAGCAAAGATTCCGTGGCCCCAAGCATTATCCATTGCCCTGTTGAGAATTAAGATCAAACCAAGGGAGAAGATAGGAGTAAGTCCATATGAAATATTATATGGCAAACCTTATCATGCAGCTACCTACCAAGGGGATCCTCATATAGTAGGTGATCAAGCAGTGTTTAATTATGTGTATTCTTTAAATAAGACTCTCACAGCCCTCAGAGGAGCGTTGCAGTGGAATCGACCTTTGCCCCTGGAGAATCCAGTGCATGACATTTCTCCGGGAGATCATGTCTACGTGAGAAACTGGTCGGTGGAGCCGCTGAAAGAAACATGGGACGGTCCTCGCCAGGTGATAATGACGACCTACACCGCAGTAAAAGTCGAAGGAATCGACAGCTGGATCCATTATACTCGGGTCAAGAAGGTTCCAGTCTTGTGGTCGGTAGAACCTCTCTCACCCACAAGGATGGTATTTCGAGCCAACAATTGAGAATCGTGGTGTTCCTGGGGTTGATAAGTTTGGCAGAGACCTTTGTGAAAATTGAAACCCCTGACCCTTACCTGCTAGTCCCCGAAGTTACTGATGTAAATTTAACCTGTTTGTTTTCTGATGACCAGGGAGCTGAATTAAGGGATGTTAACGTCAAGTGGAGATGGAGAGATCAAGATCAAACCATGACAGAAGGAGTGACAACAGTTTGGGATGCTACACAACAAAAAGGTTACACCGTTCTGCAGGTACCCAAAATGTCTAAAGCCATGGAAGGGACATATATGTGTGCAGTTTGGATTTGAGAAAGTTTTGATTATGGACATATAGAAATACGGACAGTAAACACGACTCAGAAAACGGTGACCACAGTGCGAGTTATACCCACCAGGAAACAATCAGACATGTGGGATGGTCCTCCTTTAAAAATCAATTGTACCTTCCAATTTGATGATTGTCAAAAATCAATTAAAGTAAAGTGGTGGAAACTGAATCTGGCAAATCAATCTTGGGAATCACAAAGTCAAGGAGTTAGCTGGTGGTCAAATAGTAAGGGAGGTAAAGGGTGGCTGAATATTTCTAATCCCAGAGTAGGAAAGACAGAAGGTACATTTCTTTGTGTGGTCTCATGTGGAGAAGAAAAAGATTATGGGATAAGAACAGTAGTAGCCGTACCACATCAAGGAGTAAGACTCAGACCAGAACACAGTGTTTACCCAGCTCAGGAAGGAAGAGATCTGATTCTAAGTTGCAAAATTCCAGAAGGACAGTATTCTGAATATGGGTGGCGGTTTAAGGGACAGAACTTGAAAGTTGGGAAGAGACATCAGATTGGAAAGAGAGCAGACGCAATAGTTTTGAAAATCAAAGAAATACAAAGAGGAGAAGATGAGGGCCAATATACTTGCTGGATAAGTAAAGATGACTGGTGGGATACTGGAATTACTGCCGTCTACATAAGGGCTGAAAGAATAACCCGGCAAGTAAGTAACCCGCAAATTCCAGATAGAGAAGTAGAACAAGAAAACCTAGTCGTAGGCCTAATTCGTGATTTTGGGAGAGTACAGAATGTCACAAAAATTACTGCATGTCTCCCTATGCCTCATGCTGTAGGAGACCCAATCCCATGGGGAATAATTCCAGTACAAGAAATTCCTAAATTGTTTAAGAATACTACGTGGAATTGCAGATTTGTGACCAAAACATGGAATGAAATGATAGATGCATGTCTACTCAAAAACGAAATGACTAAGAAACAATGTGAACAAGTACCTGGATTTTTCCGATGGGTAGTAGTTGGAACATGGGTAACAAGCGAAAACATTGACAAATTAAAAGGATCTTGTTTAGTTACAGATTCAGTAATATACCCATGTTCTAAAGTCCCGGCTCAAATAAAACGAGAAAAACAAGAACAAGTATGTCAAAATATTACTAGCTCTACAACCATGGATGAATGGCAAACAATTTGGGGACCCAGCTTATTAGAGACTTATAGTTATATTGGAAAAGTACAGTGGTGTATTCACTGGAAAGGGAAAAAGAATCAAACTTATTCTACAAGCAATAGAGGAAATCATAATTGGAGGACAGAAACACGTGCAAAAGAGAATTGGAATTGTACTCGAGTATATACATGTGATACCCCAGACGATGAAATAGGCTTAATGCCAGTCAAAACACTTTTGCAGTTAGGATGTGAATGTCGAGGGTATAACCATATGATTAAGGGATCTGTGAAAAATATTGATTGCCGTACCACCACAGTTAAGAGCCCAGGAATTTTAGTGTGAGTCATGGGACATGGCCAGTGGACCACCCACATGCCAATAGATAGTCCAGTTGTACCTGTCACACTAGGGATACCTACTCTCTGTCCATTCTGGAAGCGGGATAAGTTAACATCAGTAGAAATACAACCACGAGGGAAAAGAGAAATTAGTAAAGACATTGATGACCTGGGGTTGGGAGATTGGCATGAACCATCAGCAGGAGTTAAATTTAGATGGGCATTAGAGTCTCTGTTTGCACCAATCTCAACATACCGGAACAGAGAAATGTTGTTTAAATTAATGGGACAAACTGAAAGGCTAGCAGCAGTCACCAAGAAGGGATTTAAAGATCTAAATTTACAATTACAAGCCACCTCTAGAATGACCATACAAAACCGCATGGCATTAGACCTAATATTACTTAAGGAACATGGAGTTTGCGGCTACCTGCATGCTAAGGACGAGCATTGTTGTGTGCACATCCCAAATGTCACTCAGGAAGTAGAAAAAGATATTAGTCAATTAGAACAAATTGACGAGAATGTTCATGAACTGCAAAAAGAAGCAGAACACAATTGGATAGGACAATTATTCAGCTCCCTAGGTCTTCATGTGTCAGGATGGATATCTTCTGTTATCCAGTATGGAATATTGATTGTAGTGATTATTGTGATAGCTATAATTGTTTACAAGTGTCTTTTAGGAATGATTGTAAAAGAAGGTCAACATATGGGACGCATCATGAAAGCTATAACAAGAAAAGAAGTAATCTCATCGCAAGATGGACCACCTCCTGCCTGTCAGGAAACTGCAACCTGAAGATTGCTGTATTTGAGCATCCTTGCAAGCAAAGCCTGAAGAATGCTCAAAAGGGGGGACATGTTGCAAAGCAATTTAAATTTTAGTAGTAGAATGGCTAAGGCTTAGTAGGAGAGTAGGCCTAGAAAAGCAACACTCCAAAGAAGTAAGTTAGCAACCTTGTTTGTGTGCTGAAAAAGGTGGAAACCATAATCAAAGGATCTAGTCAAGCATGTATATAATGATTTGTTACCTAGGATATAGTAATTTGTTACCTAAGATGAAGTAAGGGTCTGTTAAACAGTTTCTAAGGGTAAGACAACTTAAGCAGATTTATGATTAGAGTAGATGATTATTAATTGTTATCAGTATGGAGCATGAGCTTGTTTGTAACTGCACCTAGTTTGCTGTGAGCTTGTTTGTAACTGCACCTGGTTTGCTGTGGAAACTCTAACTGTTTTGCCGTGGAAACTGCACGTAAACTTGTTTGTGTATAAAAGCTGAACTGAAAATGAGGGTCTTCGGAATCCTGACTTGGGATGTTAGTCCTCAGGTTCCCGGGGCCCCGAATAAAGCACCGCATAAACCGGCACTCTGTTGGTTTGTGTTTCTTTTGGTTACGGGCAAAAATCCCATTGTGTAACACTAAAATTATGGGTAGTAACCTGGTAGAAAATACTTTTTCTTTGTTTTCTCCTTTAGATATTGCCATGGCCAGTGGTCACCCAGCTGAGAGGACACATGACTCTTCCTCTGGCAAAACAAATGTGACAGTCGATGACCGTAAAGACTGTGCAGTGAGCTTATATGAAACAGGCAGTTGTGAAAGATTTGTAAAAATTGCTGAAATAGAAAATGAGGTGTTTTCAAATGGAAAATTGACTTGGTGACCCAGGAAAAACACATCCTTATGTTCTTTCAGCAAGCAAATACTTTTCCTGAAGGAATTTCTGACATTATCTGCCTTAAAACGGTGGGAGCGAGATACTTGTGTGGCATCCTGAATTCTGCAGGTATGCTCTGCTGGGAGCCTGGTTATCAACAGATGGGAAACATATTTCTGGTTATGAAAGTGAACTGTTATACACTTGTGCAAACAGTGATATTCATGAGTAAACTAACTTGACCAAATGAGGTTCTTCTGCTAAAAAAAGTCAAATAATTCAGAAAAATAAATAAAATTCTCTTGAGTCTAACACTGCTTAAAACTACACTAGTAGAGTTTCACATAAACACATATTATTCTGATTTATACAGGCTTTTTTTTCTCCTTTTCTTTTTTTTTTAACATGAATTCTCATGGTCAAATTCTGTGTCACTTTGTAATATATGAATCCCACCTGCTTCTGTCAGTACAAATTGACTTTTACTCTCCTGTTTTATGCTCACCAATATATCTACATGCTGTTACTACTGTGAAAAGTTTGGGTGACACTAAAACCTCCCTAGTGAAAACTGGAAGTTGCTGTAGCCATGGGTGCCTGTGTCCCTTGAGAGGGTAACAGGTGGAGGTGCTGAGCCTGGGATGTGTAGACAGGACGGAGTTCTCAAGATTCTCTTGGAAGAGGACTAAATTATATAACGGCCCAGTGGGATGCAGGGTCAGTGGGAGATGCACTCTGGGGTCTCTGAGATCTACATAGCTGCTGGTCTTGCTTGTTCCCCCTCTGTGGTTCCTGTGGGTAAAAGGGAGCTGCAAAATAGTGTCCTAATTGTTATTAAAATGGTTTTTAATTGCATCAAGGTAATGTTAAACTTTTGGTATTCTTAATTACATGTGAGACTTTCTTTGCCTTCTCGTAACGTGTTTGGTTCACAGAACAGTTCATCAGCTTTAGTGAGGAGGAAATCTAAATGTCACTAGTTGATTTGAACAGCTGGGGAATGAAACATCTCCAACTCATAGCAGTCACGGCAATCTCCACCTTTCTGTGCTACATGATCCGCTTGCTTAACCTATGAACCTCTTCAACCTTTTGAACCCTTGATTGAAGATCTTGATCCGTATTTATAATTAAAACTTCTTTTATTTTTCAGCTTTCTCAGCAAATGGGAGAGGTAGCATCAGTCCTGAGGAGAATAAAATTTGCTGTGAAGCAGAAACAAATGTCTGAGAGTCCAATCCTACGCTGAAGTGCCACATTGAAATGTCAGATGCAGAAACTGGAAAACCAACAACTGGCATCCTTGGTGAGGAAATTCCAGGTTAATCTCTCCACAAGTTTGTTTTCCCTTTGCTTTGAAAGTGTTTCGCCAATAGAGCTTGATGTGAACAGAGTTTTACATGGCGCAATAGATACAGGGATGCTGAGGGAAGGTGGTACATGATGAGCATGTAGCCAGTTCCCAAGAATTCCCTTTACCAGTCAGGGATAAGTGAGTTTTGCCTCTATATTAAGTCACATAAAGTTATTTTTATATTCAAATTTCTTTCACGGTGGAAATCCCTGTTGTCTTCCTTAGGTAATGGACAAACAGGTCTTTAAAAACCAGTCAAAGTGGATTTCCTTAATGGCCTTTGAAGCCATCATTAAGGATGGCTCTCACATCTCTTGGTTTGGGGTTTTTTGGAAGAGGAAAACATTCATTGGTATCTGTTGTGGTGGGGAGTCAAGAATTAGCTTTGAATGTTGATGAAGTCAACATTGTTACAGGTATCTTCATTAAGGTATACTGAGCCAGAGCCTATTTGTTCTCTCATCCATAGGTTCCCTCTCTCTTTATCAGCTGTTGTGGGGGACTTTGCTCATGCTCAGTTCCTCAGGGTGGTGCTTATGAGGCAGGCTCATACCTTGGCATATCTGCTTGATTCACTGGGCTTCTCTTTATTTTCTTCTACTCTCCAGGTAATCCTGAATTTCCCACCAGGAATGAGGGCATGATCTCCCTCACATTCCTGCTGTGCGTTGTGGTTTGGGCAGGAATGGTCTCTGTGTATTCCTATTGCTGGCATTGGATTAGTCAAGGTACTGTCTGACAAATTGTTGGTTTCCTGTGGGTTCCACACCCAGTAGTGGGACAAGCATACAGGGTGTTCTTCCTGGATTTCATCTCCCTTATGTTGTCTAGATGGGTTTGTTATGAAAAATAAGCACAGAATAAATTTCCTCACTGCTTCCTCCTGAAGCAAGGAGGAAGCAATGGCAGGGCTCCCAGACTGTGCAGGTCCCCCTGCAGAGACATGTCCCAGCCCAGGAGACTGATGGACATCCAGGTGTGGGCTGACAGGTCCTTTAGGAGAATGGTTCCCACTTACAGCTATGCCCACTAAAGAGCCACCTTTAATTTAAGAGAAAATATTTTCCTAAATGTGACCAAGAGGGAAGTTTGTGTTGCAAACTAATATGGGTGGAAATAGCTGGGATAGGCTCTGTGGCATAAACAGAGAATCATGTGAGTAAAATCTGGAAACATCAGCCTTCCTCTGTATTACCCTCTCTTCTTCCCTCCTCTGTCCCAACACAGAAACCACTGTGTTCTTCAAGTGAGATAATATTAAACCACCTCTTACTCCAGAAATAGTTGGGCTCCAATACAGACTAGGACTTGGGATGCAACTGTGCTGTCATATGGCAAAGCATCCCACCTACCATTCCTGGTGGGGATTTGTGGAGAAACACAAGGTCTGTGGGTCTGTCTGAGATGGGTAGCAGTGAGTTGATCAGTAATTGCAGTAAAACATAAATTGGGAAAAAACAATTTCCAAGTCTGTTAGTTTTAGTTCCTCTAAAGAAATCCTTGCTAATGCTGGTACTTTTTCCGTGTTGTTTTCCTAAGACTGTCATAGCATTCCATCAGATTTTTTACTGTTAAATTGTCTCTAGAATGTTAAAGGTTGGACTCGATGATCTTGGAGGTCTTTTCCAACCTAAACAATTCTATGATTCTATTCTAAGATTTCCCTTTTGGGAGTTTCATTAGGGTCAGGGATGAAATCACAGTGCCACTACAGTGGCACTGTAGTGACACATCTAGTGAAGGACTAGATGTGTTTTCAGCTTTCAGAGCAAGAGGTGGTCCAGTAGCAGATGGGACAGGGGAGGTGCCTGGAGGACTTCCCACTGCAGATGGATTACAATTCTCACTGAAATCAACCTGTGCCCTTTTTGGCCTCACAGATATTTTTCTTTCAATTCTACAGCTCTTAGGGAACACAGACAAGCTTCAGAAGAAAAAAACCTCAACCATGTTTGAAGACCATCTACAAATAAGAAGACCTCTATACCAGCAGCATCTTCCTCTGTCCTGATGTACAACAACCAGCTGAAGCAACAGAGGCTGATTTCCATGAGACCTCATGGTCCCATATTCACAAATGGTCTTTTTTTCACAAATGCACCTTCACCACATCCACATGTTCACCGAGGACTGTGATTGCCACAGTTGTCCAGCTCCAGGCCTTCATGAGCAGCACGAGCAGCACCCTGGATCTCCCATCCTCTGGCGGTGCTTGGCTGAGGACAGCAGCTATCACAAGGTGTGTGGCTGACTCAGCAGCACAGCCTTAAACCTGCTGAATTGTCTCCAGCTGTGTGCTCTGCTTTCTGGAGATGTCTATAGGATTTGTCCTCAGCAAGTGCTTTGTGTTTTGCAATATGCATAGATAGGCAAATATTTTTATTCACCGAATTATGGAATGGTTTGGGTTGGAAGATCATCTGACGAAATAAAAAAAAGGACTAACAGTACTAAGATACCTAACTCACCAAATACCATAAAGATCATCTGATGAAATAAAAAAAGGACTAACAATACTAAGATGCCTAACTCACCAAATGCCATAGTTTTGTAGCTGCAACTTCTTTTGACTGATTTTAGTTCTCAATTTGTGTTACTATACTAGTGACAATAAAACAACTCCTTAAGAACTGGCTATTCCTTGGTAACCCTGTATTGATGATAATGTTATTTGGTCTGTTAATCTCCTTGACAAAGCATCACTATTCCCATTATTCCCAAACTCACAATCCAGTATTATTGTCGTGATTCATTTCTTAAATATGGCAAAAGCAAAGATAGGGAGTAAGAGATGTCTCCTGGCATCTGCTTTTCTATCCAGCAGTGAGCCTTTGTGCAGCTAATTGAAGGCTCATTTCACAACCTGCTTGAACTCTCTTTCCTTTGCAATAATTGGTGAAATTTCTGAACTTTCAAGCATTCAAGAAATTCTTTGTGAACACCCCCTTCCCCTCTGTATTCCCATGGAGAGCAGTGCCCACAAGAAGAGCTTTCCATCCTCTTGGGGAGGGAGCAGGAGCTACATGTGAGCTGTAGCTGGTTCCTCTTTGCTGGTGGTTTTCAGCTCTCGTGCACTGCAGACACACAGAAAGGGTTGTTAAATGTGAAGCCAGGGGCACGTGCTGTTGC